GATGAGGAAAATTCACATTTTGAAATATTTACATTTAGCTTAATAAGCAAATTTAAATCCTATCTGTTTTCACTCCTGTCTGCTTTTCTGTATGAATGTAGTTTATATCGATGTTCACTACCTATTCTCAACATATGTATGTAGAAGTTTGACACCAAACCCCATGAGTGGCCAAGTGGTAAAGAATACTGAAGACTGAAAGTCCAACCAGGGTTTTGAAAACAGATAATGAGCTAGCTACATGAGTGCATTTTAAGGTTTTTCACCTTGTGGAACATGAATACAAACCATTTTCTCTTAAAAAGTATTTCATAAAGGCATCCCTTCTCTTAGGCAGATAACTCTTGAAGGCAGATGTAGCCATAATCCCAACACATAATTTGATTCCTTGATAACTAATTCCTAGGATAGGTATTCTTTTCATTGCAGGTCAACACTGTGGGTGCGCTATGCACCCCACAGTTTTATACAAATTATATTTTTAGAACAACGGACAGTAGCTAGCAGAAGCCAAGTGACATGTCTAGGTGAAGTAGCATCTTAACAGCAAGAGAACTAGAAGCATAAGGTTTGCAGTTATCCAGTACAGCAGCATATTAAGAGTAAAATAAGTTTTCGAAATTTTTAGTTCAAGTTCTGAATTAGCTACATCATCAGTGTTACGCAAGTCATATGATGTAGAAATGACGCAGTCCAGAAAAAGAGTTACATTTTTTAGAATAGAGTTGGGGTTATCACTAGTTTAAATTATAATTTTGATTTACATATTTTTATCTTATATATATATATATATATATATATATATATAAGATAAAAGTGTGTAAATAAGTGTGTGTGTGTATATATATATATATATATACACACACACACACATAGGGTGGATAGGAAAGTCCATTTAACCTGAAAATTCTTGTGAACGGAGAGAACTATGGCTATGCAAGTGAGGTAACGGTATAGTAAAACGACTGCACCTGACCTAATAGAAACAATAGCAGCGCAAAAACAGTAAAATTTCCAACTATAAAGCTTTAGAGCATCAGTAAATTAATATGAAATGGCATTTGATTCACACAGGTAAGATAAATTGTCACCTTCATACCCAAAAATATCCGCAATCAATGCACAATGACTCTACTCTGCATATTCACATTTTGGAAATGTAGCAGTGCGCAAATGCAGATTCTGATGTACTGTACTGTAGTGTAATGTCTGTAAATTTCCAATGCACTTAAAATTTTAGTTAAAAAGGTGTTGGCACTCACTTCATATAAACTGCATAATCTCAAACCTCATTATAATCTCGATGGCAATCAATAATTTTATTCCGAATGCAATTTTATTTTTTGTGTTGTGGCAATCTCAATCGTTGCATTCTTTCTTTCAGAGTGTCAAGGTAAATGGAATTATGAATCATATCAAATGAATGAGATCCTACAAAAGGTACATAAAGTAGTGTATTTCATAAAGTAGTGTATTAAAAATAATCTTTTGTTGAGGTTCGGATTTAGAATTTTGGAGCTGTGTGCAAATGGTGAGCTGTACCGACTTTTAATATTGCAAGATGGTGTAAGGTACATTTCTCAAAGTAGTGTATTAAAAATAATCTTTTGTTGAAGTTTAGATTTAGAATTTTGGAGCTGTGTGAGAGTGGCGAACTTCACTGACTTCCAATATTACAAGATGATGCTTATTTATGGCAAATGCCAATGAAACACAATGTATGCTGCTCGTGAATATACTGTTTGTTTTCCAGCTGGGTCACATGCAAGTGTGGTTACCATTGCAAATGTAGTGCAATGGCTCAGCAAGACAGGAAGCACTATAAGTCATTCACATTCTGGAAGACCAGTGAGTGCAGGTATGCGTGTGATGCCAGCAAGTATTTTGGCATATGCACTAACTCCATCCACACTGCAGTACAAGAGATATCAGCATGGCTTGTGGCTTAACATGGGTCAACATGCACTTTCCTATCGTGTCACACTGCAGCAAGCACGGTTGCCACAGGATAATGAGTGTCAATTTGATTTGTATAACTGAGCATTGATTAATGTTGAAGGTCACTCAGATTTTTTATCTAACACTGTTTGGGTGCATGATGCAGTGTTTCAGCTTACCAGGGTATTAAACCGTCGGAAATTGGAAAATCCCTCGTGGGGACTACCCACACCAAGTGCGCTGGTCCATTAATGTGGTGGTATGGTATCTACAAGGATTGTTTACTGGGACTTGTGTTCTACAAAGGCACATTAAACAGACAGCTATACTGCACACACACACAAAAAAAAAGTTTATACATCTCCTATTCTATGGGGGCCAATTGACAAAATTCAAATTGCATTTTCCATTTCTCAAAAGTGCGACATAGGATATATATTAGATATATATGTTCTAGCATGGTATTTTGACACAAAATCGGACTTTTTTTTAAATAACATACCAATTTTTTTTTCCATATTTCGATTCTACAACTCATTATGCCCAGATATTAAATTTTGTAAAATTTGGTACGAAATTTACAGAGAAATTCAAAAATTTATCTTGCCAAAATTTGTTCAGTCTGGCCAAGAATAATTCACTTTCCGAACTTCTTGATATATGGCAACCAATTTTCCTTTTCCTTCCATTATGCCAAAGCATAAAAAAAGGCACCTCGTTTCTACTTTTTTACATTGTGTATGAGCGGAAAAAAAGTCACACCGTTTCTACTTCCAAATAATTTTAGCAAAGTGTTTAAACATTAAGTTTAGTGCATCTGATGTTTTATCGCTTTCAACAAATATGCCAAATTTCAAAATGTTCCAGTATATAAATTCACGTATATCTTCGGAAAGTTTGAATAAAAAAACTATGTCTACTTTAAAACAATGGTAAAAAGTTTATAGCTTTGAAAAATTTATAAAAATTATTTAAAAATACAAATTTTAAAACTAAATCATAAAAAAATGGGTGAATTTTTTTGGAATGAACCTGAATTTCTAAATGTGACCTTTCACATCAATCATCAATCAGCAAGAATCAAATAAGCTTAATAAAAAAAAGAGAGATTAATCAATATATATCAAACTGAATTAACATTGAGGAGCTAAAATTTTGAGAGCTAATTTTTTTCAAAAACTACTCGTGTGATTTTTGAAAAACTCGGTAGTTTGGCATAATTTGAGTCGTAGGATTGAAATGTGGAAAAAAATTGGTATGTTATTTCAGAAAAGCCCGATTTGGTGTCAAAATACCAATATTAGAACAACGCTATATATAAATATAATACATATCCTAAGTTGCACCTTCGAGGCATGAAAAACACAAGTTGAATTTCATCAATCGGCCCATTAGAACCAAAGATATAGAACTGGCCCCCTTTTTTTGCACAGTGTTCCTTCAACTATTAAAGGACATCATACCTGACTTTCTAGATATTTCCCTTGTCTGCATTACGGTCCTTGTAGTTCCAACATGACAGTGCCCCTGCACACCAAATACCTGGAAGTGTAAAGCATTCTCAACCATTGTTTTGGACAGCAAATTATCAGGTATGGTGGTGGTGTTGAGTGGCCTTCACAATTAATGGACCTCACTGCGTTGGATTTTTCCTGTAGAGTAACATTAAAGATCAAAATTATACAACTCCACATACAAAGTCTGCTGGATCTATGTCGTCGTATTACAGATGCTTGCAATAGTATGATCATTGCGTGACAGTTTGCTTTTGCGCATTTTTGGGAGGGGGATATGTTATCAAACTGTATTGACGTAAATATGTATTTTATGCAATAAAAAGGTGCATATTTCTGTATACCTCTGGCTGTTCCTTTCAAACGTTTACACAAAAGAGTGCATCGATTACAGACAACTTTGGGTAGACAGGCGACAATTTATGTTATCCGTGTGAGCCAAATGTCACTGGTAATTAATTGATGCTCTAAAACTTTTTAATTGGAAATTTTTCTCTCTTTTCATTTTTAGTTTGCAGTGGCTGTCGTCCAAATTTCACCATTAGAGGGCGCTGCTGTTATTTGCATTAGGTCGGGCGTAGTTACTTTACTGTACCATTACCTCACTTGCATAGCTGTAGCTCTCTCCATTAACAAGAATTTTCAGGTTAAAGTGACTTGTTTCAGTTATCTAATTAACATCCATTTGCTAAAATTGCTCCTTTTTCAGATCTTCATCTCGGTTTTGATAAAATTTAGAGTTTGATTTGATTTAATTTTAAAACTATCATATTTTTTCTGTAGATTCCCCAATTTCTTTGATTTTGCAAATCGAATAAAATTAAAGAATGATTTTGCAGATTATCCATGTTGAGTTTCTGATCAACGGAATTCAGGAGTTCTCTAGCATCACCCTCCATATTGATTTCTGTTTCCATTATTATCATTAGAAGAAAAATGAGATTGGCTTTTAGTATTAGCTGCAAAATTCACAATCTCTGTGAAGGGGGGGGGAAGTGATATACCTTTCTAAGAACTTTTTGTTTTTTGCTTCATTTTGCAAGCTGAATGAGATGTTATGGTTCCTTAAGAAACATCTTTTCGTCACCATACTGCATTTTCTTTTATAGGCTATATTCAAACTAATGGAAGACTGTTGAATATTGAATACTTTAAATTTTGTGATCACTCCTTAATAGATTAGTTAAAGTAAACAGATGATAATTTGAAACAAAAGAATAATTTTTTACTTTTGAGAACAAGAACCAGAACACCGTTATGTGACCAGGACCATTATTGATAATTATCGAATTCAGTAGGCAGTAGTACAGTATAATGTATTAAATTTGAAATAAATTTTTCTACAGAGTATAGTTAGCATCTCTGAATGTAAAATATACTGTTAGAATATTTTCAAAAGATTTTCTATTACTAACTAATGTATAACAAGCTCATGTTTGTATTTATTTATATGGATAACTACCATACCAAATAATTATTTATTTTTAATTTTATGTTTATAATTGATAAAAGAAATTACTGTGTAAATAAAACAAAAATAATTACTAGCAATGAAATATTTGTCAGAAATTCTTGAGAAACAACAGAATGTAGAAGCCAGCATGAATATGAATTCATCTGACAGTACTGCATATTCTCAAGTTACAGAACAGCTTCCTGGCAGTCTAAGCTGAGTAATTCAGTTAAAAAGTAGGGAGAAAAAAACCGTTGGCTACTTTATTCAAAGCGGTATCATTTATTATTTAGATGTTTTAAAATATTGTATATTCATTTGTATGACTATTTTTGTATTTTGTACATTACATTCTTATTTGCCTAAAATAAAAATTGTAATAAAAATACTGTTGACATTTCTATATATGCTTTTAGTGAAGTACATATTTGTAAATCAAATCCTGACAGCTATGTCAACTGAATATTTGCTTTGAAGATAATAATATATCAGTTTTTAGTATCCAGTGTATTACTTATAATATGATTAAGTATATTAATTAGTAATTAGTTGAAGAGAATTCTATACATGGTTGTTAAAAAGCTCATAATTTTCAAGCATGTTAAAAAAAAAATTAAAAGCCGATTGATTATTCCTGTACAAATAAGTTATTTTCATTGTTATTTTATGGATGTCAAAACAAATGTAATAAATATTTAGTAATATAAAACAGTATTAATGTAATTAGTCTTGTAATGGGCAATTTATTTATGAAGAGTCTAAAAAAGGGTTAAAACGATTTATTAATATTGTACTTGTATATATATGTACAACAGGAAGCACAACCATGCTGACTTAAGTTATTGAACTCTTGACACAGAATTTTCTTGAGATAAATAAAATTCAGGAAAAAATACTTCTACACAAATTAAACTGCGTAATTGACTAAGCACTTACATTAATTAGTGACTAACATACATAATGATCTAAGCATAGAATGTATTGCATGTTTTTGTTTTACAAAGCTATTATAAAATAACCTACTTGCATTTAAGAATAAGCATAGGAAATGTGAAAGTGCAAATGGTCAAACTGAAAATAAATCACAAACTGTCATCTATTGGACCCATATACCAGCTGACTCTGCTTATGGGAATACCATATATCACACATATACCAAAGGTTAATTATTCTAAACCTGAAGATAACCATTCACCTGGAGACAGTTTTGGGTTTATCAAGACATTCAGCTTAACAAGGAGAACACATACTGAATAGTCTTATAAATAATATTAAAGGATAAATTGTTATTTTGCCATGTAATTAATTTAAAAATTACAAATGCAATTTCACATTTCTGAAGCTTGTCCAATTTAAAATTTAAAAAAAAAATTGCATCTTCCACAAGCTAATTGTATAACTGCATTCACTACTATTTAAAAGTGCCAAACCCAAGCTAAAGTTGAGTAGATAAATAACTTTTACAATTTTTTGATATGCATAATCCAATTTTCAGAGTTCTTTGAAGAGGGAGATAATTTTAGTTCATCAACAGTTATGCTTTGTAAAAATAAAATTCAGCAAATTTTTTAAACTTTATATTTACACATTTGAATAAGCAGCTGTTTATTTAATTTACAATTCAGTTTAAGTAAGCAGAAGTTACATCATATTGACGTTTGCTCATAAACCACTTTGACTTGCATATATGTATATTTAATTGAAACTTTCTAAGAGTTCAATTGGAAGATAACTTCACTACAAAATGCCATTTTACACATCTCTATAAAATTATCGAAGTACAAATAAATGCAGCATTATTTATATATATTCTTCATAAAAAATGCAAAGCTTGAATGCCATCAGTAATGTTTCTTAACATTATAAATTGATAAACTTATATTTCACTAAAATTATAATTCAATCAATATCTTTAGTCAGCTCTAACATATTTAAATAATACAAACTACAGGATAATGCAAATAGTTATTTTATCTTATTTTTCATAAAATATATTAACAATTTTCTCATACATAATTTAAAATGTAATTTTAATTCATACTGTAATCAAATCTTTAATCGCTTTCTAATTCAGAAACTTGAAAGCTTTAACCTTTTTCTACTTGTATATTTGACTATTTTGTAATAAACTATAAGCATATAAACTCTGCCATTTCATGAAATGTTCAAATACATAAACTGTACAATATATTTAAAACACATGAAAATGCCGATTGTAAGAAATACAAACAATTTCCTATTGTGTGCATTAATGATGACTAGGATGAAGTTAACAAAAACTTCTCTAAAACATGTATAAATTTAAATCTAGTAAATACTCATTTTCACCTGACTAGAATAGAGTTCAATAAAAATAAACATTTTTAAATCCAAGAACTTTAAAACACTGCAGAAATCTATGCAAGGAACAAAAAATACTATGTACATAAAACCATAATTTTAATGTCTACATTTAAATATTCCATTTTTCATGGCACTGACAAAAAATTAGAAGGGTTTTTGAAGTATAACACAAGTTTTGAAGTCAAATTTTATAAAAGTATAAAGGCATACTTAAGTGCACTGTTGTATGATTCATTACCACAAGCAGTGCAACAATTCTAAATTATTCTGGAATGTAAAATTAAGAGTCAAATAAATGGATCAATAATCTAGAACAGAATTTGTCTACTATCTGTGAAATTATAATCCTGAATATTAAGTGCCTAAATATAAAACACTATTTATTAAGAGTTCTTAATTTTTCTCAGAAAATGGAAAACAATATATACATATAAAATATTAATAATCAACATTTTGTAATATATAACTTCTGTGCTCTTAATAAAATATACTAACTGTTAAAATGCCATAACTGAAACAAATTTTTTAGCTTGCACATGGAAAAGTGTTTTTGTATATTGATACTTAGCAAGGTATTTCTATATTTTGTTGCAAAAATAATTTTTTTAAAAATGTAAACAATAAATTACTGCATTTATAAGATAAACAAGAAACTGGTAAGTGGAATGCAGGGTACGACAAAATGGCTTTTCAAATAAAGGGGAAAGGAATTGGGAGTTATGAGCTTGTAATATATTCTGGATGGATAAAAAAAGTTTAATTATTTGTATTCTTGTCCGATTTAGTTGAGAGTACAGGAGGTGACACTGGAGTCGAGTCTTCATGGAACAATGGATTTTTCACTTCCATCTCTCCAGTCTGAAATTGAAAATACGTTTTGTACAAGATTTATGATTAGCTTTTATTATGCAAAAATTCTAGAACAAGAAACAATAAAATCTATTCATTCAGAGTGATCAGGTGTTTTTCATTCATTAATAAAAGAATTATTAAAATTTTTCCCTCTTAGGAGATTAAAAAAAAAAATTATTCAATCCTGCCCTACAATGAGAAAACAACTTATACCTATATTCTTAAGCTTGCATTAACTATTTCAGTACTCTGTAATACATATATTGTGATTGATCTGGTTGCATTGATCAGACGGTTGCATGTTCAAATCGCATCTGGATCACCATTTTAAGGTGTAAAGGATATAGCTCGGTAGATATTCTTAGAAGACATAGTCATCGCTAAAACACAACTGTTCATTAAAACAGTGAAACTTTTACATAAACTTTTCGTACTCAAGATAAGAGCAATGCGAGTGAGTTCACTAGTCGTGCCTGCGATTATTACGAAAACAATATGATGTCATCTGACATGGCACGCAGTGGAATATAAGATTGCTACAACTTCAACAATAAGAACAATTCTCAATAAAGAAAAATAGTACCATCCGCAACTACAACTACAAAAAACTCTGCAACTAGGATAACCCTTTTTAAAAATAGAGTGATAGAAAGATACAATATGCCATTAAGCCAGGCTATTATAATGGAAAAAGCGAAAATTTTTAATCGCATTCAGATTGAAACAGGTGACACAACTGAAACTTTTGTTGCAAGTCGAGGATGGTTTAAGATTTAAACATTGAAATAATCTTCATAACATACAGATTACAGGAGAAGCAGCAAGAAGAGATATAAAAGCGGTGGCTGAATTCCCAGCAACATTAAGAACAATAACTGAATAAGGAAACTATCCTCCATAATTAGTTTTTAATTTCGATGAAACGGACTTATTTTGGAAAAAATGCCAAAACATAAATTTCTATCATGCACCAAGATTTAAAACTGTGAATGCTTAATGCTTCTCCTGGGTGCTAATGCTAATGGAGACTTTAAATTAATGCCACTTCTGGTTTATCACTGCCAAAACTCAAGACTGATGAAAGAAATATCAAAATCAACTTTAACTGTCATTTGAGAGTTAAATAAATAAATCATGGATAACTCAAAATTTTCCAGAATTGGTTCACTGAACAATTTTGCCCATCTGTTAAACACTATTCAAAATCAAAAAACATGAACTAAAAGCACTTCTTTTAATGCTTTGACGCGTGGCGGTCGCACTTTGAAACCACCCATTTTCGAATTTTTTTCTCCTCTTCCTTCCGAAATTTTTGAGTGAAAATCAATTGATTACTGATCTTTTACCTCTAAATAACACAAAATGACTGCAGAAACATACATGTTTTAGGTCTTAGTACTTCAAATCAGATGCCTTTTAAAATTCGTTTTCAATGAGATATAATAACTTTTATTAATATAAACAACTTTAAATTTCAAAAGTTATTCATCGCACATTATGATTTCTATCATAAACAATAAAAAATAGCAATATTTAAACTACATATGTAAAAAAAACCCTCTATATGTATGGCATTTGCTTTGTGGTTTCAGGGCGCAACCATTGCACCACTAGTGCATTGTGTCACAATGCTCTAGAGGCTCGGTGGTCGCACCTTGAAACCACAGCTCTTCACAATGGCGTTTGCTTGCTTCTCAAATAGGAATGTTTATTTTTACCCATATATAGATAAGGAGTTTTGAAACCACAGAGTTATTTTATTAGTAAACAATACATGCACCTGCTCAGTGAAAAGGTCTTTCTTTTCCAGAGACTTTTCTCTGACCTCAACACACTTGCTCCCCAAGCTAGTATTGTGATTTTACAAATTTTATTTCCTGTGGTTTAAATTTAACGTAAATATACTTTGCTATAATTAAGAATAGGAATCACGTAAAGTTTTATTTAAATTAAAAATATTTTCTGAATATTTTGGAACAAATAAGTATGAATGGGAAATGAATGATACATACCACAGCCAAAAGACCAAGCCCCCCCCCACCCCATTAATATAAAAAAAAACCACAAATTTCATGTGCCAGATGAAAAGAAACTAAATAACGCTGGACATGTACCAGTGAAATTTAGATCCAGGCAGTGTGTATGATACATGTGCGAAACGTGCAATGTGGGTCTATGCATGTACCAAAAAGACAAAACATGCTTTGAACAGTGTCACAAAAAATATTTGTTCTTTGAAATTTAAAAAAAAAAAAAAAAAGAGGACTCTTTTTTTTTTTTTTTTAATCCTTATTTTACTGAGTTTTTTAATTCATTTAGCCAAACGTCCTTATTATGTATGTACTTATATTTTCACTGCTATAGAAAAATTACATAAATGTTTATTTTTTAATTTTTCTGACAATTTACTTTGTAAAATAATGTAAAAAAAATTATATATTATGCAATTCCTACATACATTTTTTTAAAAATTCGTAAATTTTGTCATTTATTGGAAACGCACACTGAGAAAGTTAAATCCCCCCTACTACCTAGGTAAGTTTCAAAGTCCTAGACGCGCAGTGATTTCACAGTGCGACCACCACCCACGGAACAATGGGCAAGACTAGATTTTTTTAAATTCATATATTATTTGTCTCTAGGATCATAATATTCAATTTCTAGAGTTTTTATTTTTAAAAATTATAAAAATAATATCGCTCGCGTGAAAGGGTTAATGGGTAATGCTCAAAGCAACCCAACGAATTTATCTGACTTAAATAACATGGATTCCAGTCGAAGTGGTTTTCTTGTTGGCTAACACAACTGCATTAATCCAACCCGTGGCTTGAGGTATTATATCAAATTTTAAAACTTATAACTGGTTGCGAACATTTGGATAAATGTCTGAAAAAACAGACAGAGATGATAAACAATCAATAAGAGATTTTTGGAGGAACTATAATATGGATGCTATAGAAAACAAAAATCTTTCTTGGAATGAGGTAATGGGAAAATGTTTGAAAGGAGTGTGGAAAAACATTTGGCCAGATTTAAACAAGGATGACGACACTAGAGATTCTTTCTGAACAATATAGTGGAATTAGCGAAACAAACATGTTTAGATGAAGTAAATGTGGAAGATCTCGAAGAAATTTTGCATGAAACAGCAAAAAGTCTTTCTAATGACGAGCTCAAGGAATTAGCGGATCAAGAACCCAAAATATTAAAAATAGCTACTCTAAAGAAGAGTGAAAAGAACTTTCGATGGCATTTCTAAAAACCAGTTTAGCTTCCATTAAATAAGAAATTATGGACTTATTTACTGAAAATGATGCAGATTTTAATAATTGTTGGAGTAGACAAGATGAGGGTGTTATGGATGCCTTGTCCCCTTATTGACAACTTCTTACGAAGTGCAAAATATGCAAATGACATAGATACCTTCTTGATAAAAAAACAGAAAATTGGAAATGCAGAAAAATCTGAATGATCTAAAATATAAATGGTGACTTAAAATTTTATTTATTTCTATATATTCATTTGTTATGTTTCAATATTTGTAAGAAATAAGTCTTTATTTTGTATTGTTATAAAAACATATTTAATGAATTGAAATAACAGAATACTTGAACAATTTTTTTATTTTATACCCATTTTCCCCTAACCCCATAATTTACATGATGAGAGATGACCTCGTTTAATGCCATTTTATATAATGCTGTACTTTGATGGAACCTAACTTAACATGAAGTGGAGTTTTACTGTACATGCATTCAAGGGACTGATTTTTATGAATAAATAATGATCATCATGTATGAAATGAGGTACTTACTGGTGCTAATCCTGGACATTCATAAACTGTATAATCCCCTTCTTCATTTTCCTCTTCTGAATCAACATCTGAAGCAGAAGCATTCTTTGTGGATCCAGCTCTGGAATTTTTTAATAAATTCATTTGCTTCATTCCAAGAACATTAAAATAATTTAAGTATTAGTGTAACTCTCTCACTCAAATTTCATTGACATTCTTTTGCTTAAAAGTAATATGGCTATCCACTCTTAAATTAATGTACATGATGCCAATTTCTTCATAAAAGCAGGGATAAAGAATGTTTACATATAGTATATTCTTAAATGTTTTACCACAATATTAAAAGATGAAAGAAAGGGTCAACACCAAACTCAAAACTTATTAAATTACATTCAAGTTGTCGGTATACATATTTAGATTATGCTATTGCTATTGAATTAGATGGGAGATTATACAAAATGCCAAGTTTTAAAGCCACTTTAAAGCTATATTCCCATTCAAGATTTCAATATGTTATGCTTTTTGAGAGATAAAAAGCAAAGTATTATGTCTTACTTTTCAACTGCAATAATCTGCTGTTTCTGGTGTTGATAATGATACATCTGAGCACTCTGAGCTAACTTTCTGTCCCCATTAGGTGAAGATACATCCTTACATGGTCCAGTCACTCCATATGCAGGATAATCAACATCAATTGCAGCTTTTCTATTTTTCTGCAGCCTGTACAAAATAAGAATTTAATCAGAACATCATCATATAAAGCCACATATCTCCAATTACTTCACTTTTTCCTAGGAAGGTTATAAAATCTGATTTCAAAGATATGTAATAAATAATTTACTAATTACAGTTCACTGACAAATGATATGGCACAGGAAAGATGTCCACATTTATCTGTTCAACACTAGTAAAACTTACTAAAAATAGCATCAACTTGTTTAAAACTGGATGGAAATTTCTAAATTGCTTTCACATCATATAGAGCATTCAATATATTTTAAGCCTAATACTCTTGTCTAAGGTAAATGTTTAAAATCCTTTTCTCTGTTCCTCTTGACTTAAATGCACTTAGCACAGTTATACATCAAGAATCAAATATTTCATGGAAAAAAAATAATGAATATGACATTGCAATGCACCACCTTTTTATTGATTTTAGGACTGCCTACGGTTTAATAAACAGAAAATATTTAATTAAAGCTATGAGAGAATTTGCAATACCTGAAAAACTTATAAATTTGGTCACCATTACTCTTACTGCGACAAAACTTAGGGTTAAAATCCAGCTAATCTTTCTGAGCCTATTGTTGTTTCAAATGGGCCCAGACAGGGTGATGCATTGGCCTGCTTGCTGCCCTCCAAAAAATCATAAAAGACTCCAACATTAATACTCGTGGAACTATCTTTAACAAATCTGTTCAGATTTTTGCGTTTGCTGATGATACTGACATAGTCGTATGCACTCCCGAGTTACTTAGAGAGGCTTTTACATCTCTAGAGGCTGCAGCCAGCAAAATGCATCTAGCAATCAACCAAAATAAAATTAAATACATGCCATGTGGTAATAACAGTAATCCCTATTTTGAAATTGGGAATTACAAATTTGAAACTGTTAGCAAATTTAAATATTTAGGATCAGAAGTTAATAAAAGTAGTAGAGTAACAGATGCTAACCGATGTTTTTTCGGTCTAAAAAAATACTTGAAGTCTAACTTCATTGGCAGAAAAACGAAGATTTTAATTTACAAAAGCTTAATCAGACCCATTCTTACATACTCTGCTGAGACCTAGGCAGTGACAGAAAAAGCTAAAAGTATTTATTCTGTCTTTGAAAGAAAAATTTTGAAAAGTATTTTTGGAGGCATAAAATGTAATAATATCTGGAGAAGAACTAACTCTGAACTCTATAAATCCTTTAACGAAATAGATGTAGTAAAATATATAAGGATTCAGAGAATTATATGGGCACGACTCCTGTGCAGAAGGGATGAAAATCGAGTAACTATAAAGTTCCTCTCGGCCAGACCATTCGGCACCTGAAAAAGAGGGAGACCTAAACTTAGGTGGCATGACTGTTTGGAAACAGACTTAAGAATTTTTAAAATAACCAATTTATGTCCATGGTCAGGGATAGAAGAGCTTGGAATTCGATTCTGAGGAAGGCAAGGGCCTATCCTGGGTTATCTGGCCATTGAAGAAGAAGAAGAAGAAAATATTTTATGGCATCAAAACAATTCCTGAATAGCATCCATCAAATCATCTTCACCATAATGTGAACCATGCATGTGTTGTTTCAGTTTTCGAAACTATAAGATATTTCTCCTGCCTTCATAGTGTAGTGGTCTGCACGCTCAGTGCATAATTGAGAGGTCTGTGGTTCTATTCCCGATGAAGACGTTGCCTATTTTTCATCTCTCCGCCTTTTCCAATTAACCTAATATCTCTACAGTAGCACCCGAACTAAAAGGGTGTTGGATGATGATTCTCCTCACCCAGGATGTGGCGATTGGGTTCCCTAAAAACCCCAGTTGCCCTTTAAAAGAGGTAGTATATAAGGTATTTCTCCCGCCTTCATAGCGAGCCTTCGTAGTGTAGTGGTCTGTACGCTCAGCGCGTAATTGAGAGGTCCGTGGTTCGATTCCTGGTGAAGGCGCTGCATATTTTTCATCTCTCCGGCTTTTCCAACTAACCTAATGTCTCTTCAAAACAAAAAGAAATCACTTGGGGTCAAGTTTGATAAATATAGTGGAGGCGGAAAAGAAAGCTGAAGTCTGCACTGCTAAATAGCAGTCCACGAAATCTTAGCTTTGTGTGTTGGAGCACTTTACTTTAGGAGGAAAACAATATTTTTCTGCTGAATTTTCTATAGCAATTAACCTTTTATGACTTGCCACTGCAGCATTAATAGGTTATTCATAGTCATATTTTACTTCATGTGGAATCATTAAGCAGCTGTCTCTCTTCTGTCATGAACTTGTAGGATTAAGAAAATCCAACGAGTGGAAGCACGGTGAATATTCCTGACAGCAATTTCTTTTCTAAGTTACAGTAATGAAGCCATATTATATTTCCTGTCTCTGGGCATGAATAAAGTCTCATCTGAAAATATCACAGAGAGCAGTTTTCAAGAAATTTAGTCAGATGTTTCTCCTCTTCTGGTGTCAACATTCTGGGTCAATTAGTGCAGACTTATGATATCTCCAGATTTTCTTATGAATTTTACTATACATTCAAAGCTGGTGTCCATTTTCACAGCAATCTGAAAAAATGTCACTCCATCACCTCAACTTGAGCACATCACTTTTTTGTTTTCTATCATAAAATTCTCAACTTTGGCACACCCTTTTTCAGTGGGCATACTGACATTACAGCCCATTTTAAGATTTTCTTTAACACTGGGAGTAGCTTTTTTATTACACTTCCATGATGTAATCATTTCGTCATGTGTCATCAACCTAAAACTATTAGTTTAGTAACCCAAAGTTTACAGCTTATTCAATGCTTCATATTTTATAATCTCTCATTTTTTACCTGAGGCACATGCTTTACTCACTACTTTGGCTCCAACTTCATATGCAGAAATATATTTAAAAGCATAAATATGTAACAAAAATAAAATTTAATTTTTAAAGATAAGAAGAAAAACAAAATTGTAAACAATTATTTTATGCAAAATTATATAAAGTAATCTAATTTGAATGTTTGTTTATATATTTTTCAAATATCCAAAAATTATCAATTAATTACAGCTACCAATTTTGAAATCCAGAATAATTAACTGGCTTGCATAAATGTATAAATGACATTACCACTAATCAACTTTTATCTAATCTAATACATGAAAGTCTCCCCTTTTTTTTATAACTGCACAAGTTTATTGATTTATTTTATTTATAATATAATACCATACGACAGAGAAAACTATCATAACACACTTAAAAAAAAAAAAAAATTTTTATCTATAAAATAAGAATATTAGTACTACTACTGTTAAATATTTTACCTCAGTTTTCATAAAATATTTTTGGATACATTTTTAAGTAAAAATAATACCTATAAAAGCAAAATCCAGCTGATATGACACCAAATATTCCAGCAGCACAACAACCAGCAACTATAGCTATTAAAAAAAAAAAATTTTTTTTTTTACTCTTCAGCACTTGGTATACCTGAAAAAGAATCAAACACTGTACAGAAAACCACGTGAGTGCTTTTTCTGTATAGTATTGCATAAATTTTTTTGAAATATTATAAGTTTATGGTTTGAATCAATATGAAACCATGAAATATCACAGCTGATCAATTTTCATAAAAATAAATTATGTGAAAATTTTTGCTTTTAAAATTTTCCCGTAAGACTAATGAAATTTCAATTAAAAGTTGGATATATATATAGTAACTAAGTGTAAGATCCAGAACTGCTGGAACTCCAATTATTCTGGATCATCAGTTTATATTTAGTAAGAAGACATTTAGAAGTCATAAAATTAAAAATATGATACAGTAGTTTATGAAATAATGAAACATTAATGATTTTAAAAGAAGCAACATTTCAAAAAAAGTTTCGATATTTATTTATTTGTTTTATTAAACACTTCTTTTAATGTAAATTATATGAGCTGTTTCTTTTTTTGTGCTAATACTTTCTCAGTAACTTTAAAGATATCATTTATTGTTCAATTACAGAGTTCCGCCTTTTAACTCTGACCATCGTTCCACTAAATTATCAAATGAAATAGTTTTATTCCCATATTCCTCTTTATCATTTTTATGTAAGGGTAGCGATATTTTCTGGATTTAAAATTATACTGACTCATTGCATTAATATGCATTCGTAGCTGCACTAAGAGATGCATTCTTCATCAGGATCACCACGTTATCTGAATACATTACTCTCGTCATGTTCCTGTTTTACACAAAAATAGCCTGAAATGAAAGTACTTGATTGATAGTTGGGGCACTGTCATCACAGCAAAAAACTTTTGTTATATCTTCATTTATTATCACTCCACAAATTTCATTAATTGGAAAATTTCACCATTTGCTTGTGGTATCCATAATTAATTTTGCAGCATTCATCATCTTCATCATAAAAAATAGTAGCATAAATTATGCCAAGTATTTTTTTAAAATATGTGTGCACATGTCCTCCCATGACTTTGCAATGCTCCACACAGTAGATTTCATGTTAAAGTATTTCATAAATTCTTGAATGGTCTTGCCATTGTTCAAAAAATTTTGTATAGACTTTTAAAAAGACTACTTTATATCTGTATTTCAGTGTAAGCAGCACACATATTTCCATTTGCTGAATAATGGATGTAAAATTTGTAGGAAAAAATCATATGAAGATGTTATCGGTAACTGAAACTTTAATTCAAGTAAGAGCCATACAGTTGCATACTTGCCAACCTATGACACTCAAAAATCAGGAGATTTTTCACAATGTTAAAAAGACTTTTTAAATGATAAAAATATAGTTTTTAATAATGAATTAACTTTAAATAGTTACTAATTCTTAAATGCAAGCAATACAAAATTACCTTACACATAAAAAAAAAAATTTTATTACTTGCATCAATTTAAGAAAAAACAAACAAACAAAAAAAAAACTTTATTCTGTTTTTGTACAAATGTTATGAACAGGGGCAGATTTTGCTTTCATTAAGAAACTTCAAAATTTTGTTCATAGCAATTGCCACATAGGCCTGCTTTCGTTAATAAAAGTTTTTTTTTTTTCTAATGTGTCATCACTAATATTAGATTTAAATTTAGTCCTTGTTTTCGCAACAACACTGAAAATCCTCTCACACTCAGCAACTGGGGAACAGTCAAGATGGCTAACATATTTCTAGACAGTTCACTATATTTTAAAATTCCATCAGCACCTTTCAGTTTTCCAATTACACTCCACTAAGTGTCAATCCTAGCTGATTTTATAACTTCATCCAAGTTTTCTGATTGTAAACTGCAAAATTACGACTGCAATATTTTATCAGTGGCAACATCAATATCATCACCTTTTATGACTAAATGAAGTAACACAGGAAATCTGTTCAAAAAGTACCTTATATCAGAAAAAGATGCATTTGCTAGAGCAGAAACATCAACAACTTTAGCATGCAAAATCACTTCATCTTTCACTGGAAATTTATGTAGTATGTAATCACATACTCGACAGAAATAACTTCTAACATGAAGATGAAACTTACTTTTGTCTTCTGAACGTTCTTCCACTACTTTTGTAGTTGCAGTTCCTATTACCAAATCTTCATCTTTCTTCTCATTTTCTATTTCACCATAAATCACATCATATATAGAATTACAAGACAAAACACAGACTGGTTTTACAAAACTTTGATAAAATGTCTTTAAACAGATCATAAATCACTGATTGCAAAACATGAAGTAATGGAATTCTGCTTTGTAGAACTGTGTTAAGAACATCGGATGATGGCAAAATGATTTTAAAAAAAAAAAAAAAAAAGCAGAAAGCTTTGTTAAGGTCTGAAGAAAAAAACATAAATATTTGTTCTTCACAAGATAAACTTACAGTAATCGGAAAATTTTTCGTGTGTTGAGCAATTTTTTTATTTTGAGAGAAATTTGTATCAGTTTTATGCTTATATTTTGCAGGATTATTTTGAGAATGCCAGTTGAATTGCTGAATGGCGCAGAAATTACTTTATTTTTCTCAAACCTATTTTTAACAATGGAAGTAGTAACTACATCTCAATTTACTTTAGGTATTTTATAACTTTCAACAGAGCCTTTTATCTTAGCTCTCGCGGCATTTACTTCTTCTTTAAAAAATGCAAGAAGTGGGTTCCATTGATTGAGAATTCTAGATAAGCATTTCTTTAAAGACAGCCAGCGTGTACATACATGTTTCAAAATTTTTCTCATTTCAGTATTATGCAGCTGTTGGAATTGTTTCAATTTTTCCTTCGTTTTAGAACTCCTTTCAATATAATAATAAATATCAACTATGTGTTCTTCCACATTTATTGGTAAAGAAGCTGCTAAATTTAAAAGGTGACAGGTGCACCTCATAATCTGCAAATCTGAATTTTTCTTTGTTAAGATGCCTCCAACACCAGTCTTCAAGCCTACCATTACTGGTGCATTATCGGCACCAAGTTCTAAGCAATTATCCAGAGATACTGAATTTTCTTTTAAAGTTTTAATAATTAGCTGTGCTATATTAAAGTCTGTCAAATGTCCTTCTAAGGTGTGGAGAGAAAGTAAACTGCACTCAATTTCTGAAGACTCTGGATTAAAAAAAGAAACAACAATTGGATACAGTTTTGAATCGGTATTATTGCTTCCATCCGTAGAGAGGCAGAACAGAGCTGTTTTAATGCTATCAATAATTGAAAATTTATTTTTCAAACCCATTTCTTCAAACAATTGCAACTGTTTTGGTCCTTGCACTTGAGTATTTCATGGCGATTTCACTATCGGGAAACATTTTTCTAAATAGAGCTGCAGCATGATCCAATGCATTCATTGGCAGGTTGTGCTCCAGTAAAAAGGCAGGGAACAGACATTCTGCATTAATAACTGTTTGGTCCTTTGTTTCCGAAGAAAAATTTAATTTTTTGTTTTTTTCAAAACAACTGATGTTGTTCTTGTGTTTTTGAGTACGCACATGTTTGAGAACATCCGCCCTTCCACCATGCGAAATCGAAAAATCTCAACGACAGATGGTACACATCGAAAGTTTATTACATTTCCTTGAGGAAGCACTCACACAACTCAGGACAAGATGAACGAAATAACTAAAGAACATCCAAATAACAGGCTTGATCTTGCTTTGTGCTCATTGACTAATATATGCCAGATGACACGCAGTGGAGCTCGATGCCCATTGGAGAACTAGAGAACGATGTTTCTGGATACATATGCACTCACTCACAAAGCAGAAATTCTCATCTGATTCGCAAGGTTTTGTTTTTGATATAATCTAGAGAAAATGCAATTGCTTTGAGACATCCAAAATCACTTTTTTTTTTTTTTTTTTTTTTTTTTTTGTCACATAACGAAGTATTCAATCAAGTTCCATAAAAATCGTGAGAAATTTGAAGAATATCAAAAAATTGGGATAAATCTATTGTAAATCGGGTTGGCGGGAGAGCGGTCAATCAGGAGTCTCCCGCCTAAACCGGGAGAGTTGGCAACTCTGCAGTTGTCTATAATCAAGACAATTTTTGTATCTAGCTAACCAACCGATTTCAAATGTTGCCGAGCCTCAAATTCAAACAAATCATTGATTAATGCTTGTGTGTCATCCATGCTGTTTTATTTGAAAGACAGATGATGGGAAAAATATTTATTGTTTTAAATGATCGAGATTATGCTATCCCCCCCTCGATAACAGAAAGTTTACATTCCTGTGTTGTTCCATTGTTCTTACAGAGAACATCAATATATTTCAGGGCTCATACTGCCAAAAAAAAGAACAAGTGTTTATAAATTTAGTCACTATTATAAATTTGCTTTTGAGTTAATTTTTTGTTATTAATGAGTTTGATGAATTTACATTTGATTTTTAAATTTGATTAATCAACCTGTTGAATGTGTGCACTCAGTTTTTCAATTCATCTTCTCATGAAATATTTTGGTTTGAGACATTAGCATAGAACCCGTGAATGACATGCCCTCATTGTGACTCTGTCTCACCCATTTAATCATCACATCATCATGTTTGTCACTTTTAGCATACTCAATAAATTACTGCAAGAAAATGTACCTGATACGAATATTACCTGTTATGGTAACTATAACAGGAGACTCCCTCGGAAAAATAGAGGCTATTTTTAACCTGCTTGAAAATGTTTCTAAGAAATGGAGTACTGAGCAAAATATAGAATTTAATATTGAAAAAACAAATGGTATGTTTTTCCCTCGGGAAGGGAGAAATGTTAGAACCCCCAAACTGAAATATGATCAAAAAAGAATAAAATTTGTGAATACCTTTAAATACCTGGGTGTAGTGATCGATGATAAGTTGAATTTCATAGAGCATTTTAAGTCAATAAAAAAGATAGAAAAAATTTAAAATTATTATAAAAAAATGTTACTCTAATCACTCTTTCTGATAAAAGTTCTACCTTGAGGGATATTTACAAAAATGTTATTATACTGAAAATTCTTTATGGTATTGGCGCATGGGGTGATCAAGCAGGGGAGCTGGTCAAGACAAGGCAGAAATTAGACTCATTGCAGAGGGACTGGACACTTGCAATTACAAGATCATTTAGAACAGTCCCGACAGAAGTTGCGTGCTTACTGGCTGATGTACCGCCTCTCTCACTACAATTTAAGTTTACTTATGACAAATTTTGTCTGAAATATGATATAAAACAGAAAATAATGTATGAAGATAAAGCAATTACCAGCAAGGCCTTTTTAGAACATGATCTGACTTCAAGCCATCCTAGCAAATAACATGGTATATCCCACGATAAGGACTATATTTCTGCTGGAGAAATTGAAATTTATACAGTTGGATCAGGGTTTGTGGAGAGCATCGGTTGTATTTTTCCACCTTGGTATTCAAATTTATTACATGCTAAACGTTTAAATTTGATTAGCCAAGAACATTTACGGTTTATCAAGCAAGAATTCAGTTTATCAAGCAGAATTCTTGGCAATTAAATTGGCTTTATCCTGGATCAAGAAATTATCCATGGGGTATTACATTAATTTATACTCAGATGCCTTATTTGCTCTTATGGCACTTTCCCGGCCCTTGCAAAAGAATAATATTGTTAATGAAATTAAGCATATATATTTAGAACTACGAAAGAAGCATATTTTAAATTTACATTGGATCAAAGCTCACGCTGATCATTATGGGAATGAGAGAGCAGATGCTCTAGCGAAAGAAGCTTCCCTGGGGGTTGGGACCAAAACGGTTTCTTATTCAGATTCGAAAAAGAAGACATGTACTATAATATATGACAAGCTTATTAGAGACTGGAAAAATTTATAGGATCTCTCTGAAAGAAACAAAAACTATCTAAAATGTTTAAAAATTAGCAAAAAAATGTAAATTTTAGGAGATGCAGATGTCAATCAAATTCTCACTGCACATGGAAGGTTCCCTGCTTACTTAAAAAGGTTCCACCTCCAGAGAAATGATATATGTAAAGTTTGTAATGAATTCAACGATTCAAAGCATTTCTTCAAGGACTGTTGCCTGAGTGGAAGTGTGAGAGAAAAAATATATATTTGCGAAGTTTGAGGATTTATTTAGTAATTATAAATTGTTTAAAAAAATTTGCAAGAGATATTATGCAAACTGTGAATGAGAATAAGAAGAATATTGGTATTGAGATATAACAAAGCAGAAAATCATACTGAAAACAGAAATAATTGAGGTAACTTATAAAATTTAAGATGAATTTTGATAATATAAAGAAGATTTGAATAATAATAATTAATTGAAAGTAAAACTTATAAAGCTTTTAAACTTAGGAAAAAACACAGAAATGGAAACAACACATATATATAATATTTCACCGAGAGTGTTTGGAATGTATGTATCTACTTTATGGTTTCCCCCCCCCCTCTTTTAATGCCTTGGTGGCATAGCCATATAGCAGGTTTTGCCTGCTAGGTGGGTTGGGGCCAGTGATCAGAACTAACTAACTAACTCATTGGATAATTTTGAGGCAGATATATCTTTATTCACTTTTTGCTTGACTGACATTAAAATATGTTTTGTAGTTCCAAAATTAGAAACTTTTCAACATAATCAAAAATTCAAACATTAATTTTGTTAAGATAACTGTAATGATAATAGCCTGCAAAAAATAATAAGCTAGATAAAATTAAAAAGTAAATGAGGAGTAAAATTTGCTATGTTAACAGAACTTCAGTTTTTCAGAATTAAATTCCTTCTCCCTTTCCTGCTGCTTGCCAACAAAAGAAAACCAGTATGAACAATATACTAGTCCAAACAAATATATTTGGTTTCATTTATTGCTTAGGTCAGACAAAAAAATAACACATTCATTAAAGGACTGAAGGTGTGGTCATGGCCAACATCAGTCAATGTCTGTCATTGGCCATGGCATGACTCCCTAGCCAGATGGCATTCAAAAGTGACATGCAAGAATCTCAGTTAGGAGAAAAATCACTTTACGGCCCACCTTCTTTTTCTCAAGTACTTCTGTTCCCCCCAAAAAAGTCCTTTTTAATATATATATTTTGCTTGTGGTCTTGGAGTTTGAATATTGGATGTCTGAATTTTGTACTGTAAATAAGATACAGCTAGAAATAAATGAACATTTCTTAGCTACATAAGAGCAATGTCTGCATGATGTGAACTAATGTTATCACTACTATAACAGCAAACACAATGGTGTGCAATACTACAGGTTAAGTTTGAAGCAATGCTAGCACCTCTGCATCCAAATAGGCATATTAAGTATTGCTGGGCCTCGCTAACTGCTAAGCTTCTGTCCTGGGCGGAAGTCTGGACCTGAGGAAAAACACTCAGGATGCGATCCAAGGGTTTCCCACCCCTTTTCCTCTACCACCAACTTCTCAAGAGGATCTTGGCATGCACCATATTGTGAATGTGCCCTTTCTTCATAAACACTATATGCTTGCAAACATCCATGCTTTCTCTGGGATTCAAACCTGAGCCTTTTAGTATGGCAGTCAGTATCATTAATCGCTATTCCATCAGCTATGCAATGCTACTAAAGTGCTTGCAAATTATCAATCAGAAAAAAAAAAATCTTTTCTCAGAAAATACCTAACACATCTGAAATTCAGCTTATTTAGTTGGCTTTTATGAAGTAAATATGACTGAAGTTCAGATATTTGATCATTTAGTCAGAAAAACTTCAATTGAACGTGCACCAATCTACTATGAATGAAACTGAAATACCATGAAATCATTATCTTTAACAATTAATCCTGACAGACCGAAATCAAAACGGTCTGAAGTGTACAACAAAACAAATCACATCCGTGGGCCTTAGCAACTGCTGAAGACGATTTTCAGCTCAGATCCAGATACCTTAGTGAAGAAAGGTATAACAACTGACATTCTGGTAAAATGTTACTATGAGCTTGGGAAATAAAAATTTTGAAGTTTTTGTGCACCAGGAATAGAATTTACTGGTGGGAACAATTTTTCTAGACTTTGCTTATTTGGTTAAGGTCCTCTGATATCTGAAGTTTAACACTTGACATACCTGGGTTTGTCAAATGGTAGTTATAGGGTTTGTTGCATTGGTAGTGAAATTTACATGTATTGAGGTAAGACATGTGGGGTAAAGCAGTATGTTTTCTGTGCTGTGGCAGTAATTTTTTAATTGATCTTTTTTGTTTCAGCACAATAACATGCTTGTTCAAAAAGCAAGGCCTTCAGTTTTACAGTTTGAAAACATGCCAGATGCAGAACATAACTGGCTGAAAACATTTACCAACAAAAGCATATTTTAAGAAGTTCTTCAATTCCTGCATAAATTACACACCAAACACTTCTACATTTTATTACATATTCATAACTTTATTTGATATAAAATTTATAGTTTATAGGTGCATTTTAAATTTATGTGAATATCGTATACAATTTAAGACTTTAAAATAAATATGAGTATATAAGATGTAATATAATATATAAGATGACAGATATATAAAAGAATTAACCATTAATAAAATAGATACAGCAAATATAACAATACTAACCAACAAAATAAATATCACTGAAGGAATCTTCTTCCTTCATGACAGACTCAGTCTGCTGCCGTTTCAGAGTATATGGAGCAGTTTTTCTTGCAGTTGCATCTTCAGTTCTTTCAGTTGGTGTAGGAGATACTTTGTCTGATTGGTCTGAAAATTCTTCAGGTGATACTGTAAGATAACACAAAATATAATGAAGAACAACCTCTTGTATTTCAATAAATGTCCAAAAATCATATAAAACAGAAAATCAAATACATAAAATGGTATTAAAGCATTATTGGCCAGCTTCATTTTATATTTCTTCATTTAGTTCCGCAAACACAATTTATTGCTAATTAATACATTAAGAGTATTTTACAGCATTCGTTAGTAATAAGGATGATTCTATAATATTATATTCAGATTTCATTTTTGCATCATAACTGATAAATTTGGAATAATGAAAAATTAAATTCAAGCATGAACAGTACAAATATTTTTAAAAAATCCTTCTATGTATTTGATACAATTAATGCCAGTCTAATCTAATTCACATCCAAGTGCAATATTATCTAATTTTAAAGTTAACATGCCTATCTTATCAATTAAGAAATTTTACAGAACCCTTACTTTTATGCATTAACATGAAAAGTTCAAAATCTAAGTACTTGATTTTACTTGCTTTTTATTTTCTATCTGTAAACTTAATTTGCCAAATTTTTATATGCTAATGCCACTATATAAACATTAAATATGCAAACATAAAAGCAAAATTAATGCTTATATTTGTTATAAAATTAACATGCAGAGTGATGGCTAACTGAATTTTGAACTTTATTAACAAAAATGGTAAAGAGAACTTATGTACGTCTTACTGTTTACATGAACTTCTTACTGTTTGAAACCTTTCACGCCATTACTGGTCTTACTAAGTTTGTTCATCGTTTTGGCATTATTTGTTGTCAAGGGTTGGGATTGGCTGACCATCTGAGGTTTCTTACTACCCTTTTTCCATTTCTTTCCACTATGTTTTGTGCTGTAATTAGCATTTGCTACAAATGTTATTGTACTTTCGTTTCTAAGCTCTTGATTTCTTCTTTGCAGTCGCATGTTGATCTGTTCGATCAGTTTTTCAGGTGACTTTTCTGTCTTTGGCATTGAATCCCACTGTGATTTGAACTCTATATATTCGTCATCAGGAAAAATAGATAAGATTCGTGGTGATAGCAGCTTCTACGGCAACTTTCCTTTGCCGCTCAACTCTTGCTCACGTTGAAGATCCACCCACAGTGTAACGTAAACGTGCGAGTCATTGCATTAAACTTTCGTCTTTCTCAATCTGAAAAGTGAAAAACTGTTGCAAAAGAGTGTCCAATTTCATGCTTGACACCTTCTCAAAGTTACTTAATAACTCATTCCATATCGCTAGTGCAGAATTACCATGCATACGGATCAAATTTGAAACATTTGGCAAATACATTTGTGCGAATGATCACAGCAGCTTAAAGAGTTTATTTCAAATTTCCAATTAGTCCAGTTGGATAAACCTTCCAATTTGGTACACTGAAAAAAATTTTTAGCTTCCATATTATGTCGTTATTAACCACGAAATATGCAGCAAAAATAAAAAGGCTATCAGTACACTGTAGCATCTACCTACACACTGTTCAGATGGAAGTGTTGAAATCGAAAACGAAAGTAAAAAAAAAATTCGTGATTCAAATACGTCAACATAGCCATCGTTAATTTATTTACGCAGTTAAACGTCGCTAAAACCCATAACCTGTTATAAAATTAACATGCAGAGTGATGGCTAATTGAATTTTGGACTTTATTAACAAAAATGGTAAAGAGAACTTACGTACGTCTTACTGTTTACATGACAAATTTTAGAATGACAAAAATAACAGTGATGCCTGATGCATAAAACAATAAAACAATGATGCCACTGAAACTGCACATAATATTAATTGAATGCTCGATTCTCAACAATATTGCTGCAAAATGCCCAGCTGCTTTGAGATAGCTTTCCTGCAAAGTGAAGTTAGGGTTGCCAGATTTAGCATGAAATTGCCCATTTGGTGATATTTATCTCATGGAGCAAGAATATTCTAAAATGCATTCTTGGTGGTTTTTCTTGAGAATATTCTTTAAGGTAGGTTAAAGCTATATATACACTGCCAGTATGAGGAGAAAGAAGTGTCTTCAAATCAGAGATTAATTTGAGAGTGATTAACCGGATTGGGAGCTGTACTTTAGTGCTTTGCCATGAAGCTGTCTCCACCATTATAGCCTGAAGGCTGTGTTGCTGATTGTTTCAGAGCTTATCATAGTTTTTTTATGACTGTAAACGTGTTTGTAATACTGAAGAATAAATTGAACTTTGATTCATCATCAGATGTTATCATCAGTTACTCCAAATCCATGAACCTGTAGAATGCAACAATACTACATGCTTTGAAAAATTGCTTAATCACTGTTTTAATCAAAAATTACACAATGTGTCTTTTTCACTAACATCTACCCTGTTTTCTGACTTAAGTTGCACAGCATTCAAACTTTTCTTAATCCTAACTGTATTGAAACTGTATTCTAGTAGCATTCTGTCAGCTCTGAATAGTGTTTTTTAGCTATTGATAACATGATAAAACATTTACAATTACAAAATTTTTTATTGTAAATGTTTTGTCATGTTATCAATATTTTAAAATTGCTTATTTTATAACCACTACAAATACAGCAATGACCTGCAAGCTTAACATCTTAAACCAATGTCAAATTCAAGTAATAAAATAATCAACTTCTCAGCAACATTAAAGTGACCAAAACTTAATAGAACAGCTCTCATACTAATAACTCAATAAAATTTAGTACTTACCTAGTAAAGTCTATATTCAGTACGAAAAATGATTTAACATGTATTAAAACAGATTAGAGCTTAGAAGCTTTATTCAACATAAATATTCATCTAGTATATATTTAATAGTATAGCAGCAGATTAGAACAGTGATCACATCTTCAGCATTAGTAAATTCACTAAAAAACAATATCTTACATCTAAAAAAACACAGAATTTCCATTTTTATATTCAACAGAAAAGGGTAGAATGCATTCAAAGGGCATGCATGATGAATGTTTTTCATATACATAGTTTTTCACATGAAGAGCTACTATATAAGTGGAAGCCTTAAATGACCAAGCATTTAGAATTACAGAATATTATTGTTTTTTAAAACACACATTATAACCAATAAACATTAGACACCAAAAAAAAAAAGAAATCTCATAAGAAAAACCTGGTTTGCAAAATAGCTAAATGTTATTCTCTTGTTACTCAAACCTCCCATGTTATTTACATATTTCTAACAAAATTCCTGTAGCAAATGTGTATCAGAAAAGACAAAATGTCAGGACACACCAACTCTTTTAAACACGAAACAAGTGAATTGTGTTCATTGTACAAAATCTGTGTTAAGGAGCTTGAATTAAAATAATAATAATAATAATAATATATAAATATTAAAACAGTAATATTTTTAATTCACACAAAATTAAATAAAGTACACTTTATATCAAATGGTATTAAATCTTAACTATACATAACTAGATTTACCAATATATGAAAATAAGCTGTGTTAAAATGCACTAATAAATTAAATTCATCATTGTTTCACAATTCTTTACATGTAGAAAACAAGCAATTAATAAAAAAAAAAGGGGTCTATGAGCACAAAATCAAAATTTTCATCACTGAAAAATCTAAAATACATCCACAAAATGCTCATTAACAAATGTGTGAGTGAAGCCATGTTTACATTTCACCAGTTCCCCCTTGTTAAAATAGTACATTTCACCAGAACACATACTACGAGTACATAGTTATATTTAGCATCAATATTTTAATAGTATATAATATGTAACTGGTATGTTTGAAATTATAATGCAGTAGCATAATAATGCCATATATGTTTTCTGTGTTACATTTCTGTTGTGCGAATAATTTTTTAGTTGGGTTAACTTTAGCTTTGACTGAAGGATCTATGGAATGGTACTGATGTTCATTGTCCATAGCACATTACATATTCTCAATGCATTCATCGAGAACTTAAATCAGACATAATAAACAATAAAGAATATTTTTTATTCCAATACCTCAAATGCGCACCACTTGGCAGATGGTCACGGTTCCCTGTGTGCTTCTACAAAAACTTCTCCTTACAGTTGTCATATTTATCGGCAGTAACGCAGCCATAAGGAACATTCCTTATTGCTATCAACACACAGTTCCCTCCCATTCCTTTGATGGCAACTCAAAGGAATACCATCAAATCAAGGATCGGTACAATTCTATTATAATGACCGTAAAAAATTGCCTAACTAATTGTTGATGGCAACGATGCCTAAAATAATTATGGTAACACCAACTCAGGAAAGGGAGCATAATAGTAAATAACTATTCAAGATTATTATTTTAATTTAGATGAAATGTTAACTTCATATAATGCATTTTTTATTATAATTCATAAAAGAATGTCTAAACTGAAATCAAATGAAAGGCATAAGATTTTTGAAAGAAAATTTCGGCTTTTTCCCCCCTCCCTTTTCTTTTAAGTGTGTATGTGTAAATGTCTCCATATAAATTGGAACAAAGAATCGAAATGCTGTTGAACAATTAGCGCCTTGTTTTAAAATAGGTTATGATTTGCTGGCATTAACTGGTTGGCATCTGCTATACACTATTGCAAACATATCATGAGAATGGCGACAAAGGACACCATATGAGAGAAGACAGGCTACAAATTTTGCAACACAAATTCCTTCATCTTATTACTGGAGCCCTTTGGTTTCTCAGAAACAAGAATCTGCATAAAGATTTAAAGATTGATTATGTTAAAGACTACCTCAATAAGCTAAACAAAAAATTTCTGCTGTAATGCCAAAACAAATCATGCAACAAATTTTGTGAGAATCTTAATTTTTACTGAAGATTATTTTTACAGATGGTGCATAGCATGTCTATTCAATATGTTATATCAATATATGTAATTGCTTCTTTACATAATTGTCTCTTCTGGAAAATTTTTTAATTTCTTTATTTTAAGTGTCTTCAATTTTTCTCATTTCTTTCCATCTAAGCATAAGTGCAGTGGATAGAGCTCATTTTAGAAATTCAGATCACTGGTTCAAACCCATCTGACAGCAATTTTATAATTTTCACCTCCCACTCACAGAAGGTCATTTTTGTATAATTCAGCTTCTGTTTTTTAACCATTCATAAAAAATTATACTTTTTTCTACATCTATATTCTACAATGAATTTTTAAAGGTTCAAAATCTGTCAAGTTCTTCAAAACACAAGCTTCACTTAGGATATTGATTCAGGCCTCTGAACATTTGTCCCACATCCTACGGATCCAAGATTTATACCTGATCATGAAAGTAATTATATTTTAAAAGTACCTTATTTATTTTTTCAATTTTTTTTTTTTTTTTTTTTTTTTTTTTTTTTTTTTTACTTCTCTGTATCAGGGTTTAATGTTTTCTGCACTGCAAAGTGGCTAGTGTAAATCCCAGCACTGCTAACTCTGATTGAAAAAAAGTATCCATAAAATGAAATAAATTGAAAAAGAGGAACTTTTATGATAATAGTAATTATGGGATGAGATATCGAACAAAAATAAATTGTGAAATAAAGTTAGCTGATTATTGCATGTTACAGAAACCTGCAGCATTAATTTATAGCAATTCAAAAACATAAACAAATGAAAAACAGTAAAAAGTCTATTTCCGCATGTTTTCGAAGTCCCAAGTAAATAAACTACTGCATATCTTGACTTATCTGAATAATAAATCAGCAATTTTTAATCCAAACAGTATTAAATATTTTTCTCTTGGAATACTGTTTAATTCCCCCCCTTTTTTTTTTCTGCACATAGAAAGGAATTTCTGCTAAATTTCTTGTTGTTCACATAGCACACACATTCTTCATCAATTGACTATGGCTGAAGTCTGTATTTGTTGCCAAGAGACAAGGGTTACCATGCTGTAGAAATGTCTACTGTGCATGCGTGAAGCATAAGCCCTGTTAAAGCGAGACATTACTGTCGAGCAGTGCCCCAGTGCCATTTATTATATGCTGTACCACTGCCCTATAGCCACTCTATTGTTTGTATATGACATACATTCTTGGGATCCACAAATTTCTTTAGATTAGTTTGGAACAATGAATAAAAAATTAATCATTTGATTCTCTGTTTAGTTCATTGAAAATCCACTATAACAGAAGAACACATCCAACATTGTTCTTTTTTCTAGTGAAAAGGCTTTCATCTACTTCAATAATCTCGTCACATCCACCAATTTTCAACTTTGGCCGAACAAATAAGCATTGGCACACACATCATGCATGTACCTTCTTCAGGCTACACTTGTATTAGGGTTCATCTTCACCTGAATTTAAAAAAAATCATAGATGTTATCTTCTGACACCAAAAATAGATGAATCTCATGGCTGTAAGGGAGGGGATTTTTGATCCTTAGAACCAATTTCGAGTTCTTAATCCTTTCTTCTCATTACAGGATTTTTTTCTGTAGTGCCAATTCTCTGTTAAGCTATCAATAAATCACAAAATTTATTCCTGTAGTAGTTTGAGTACAATTTTCTATCTTTGAAAAAAATTCTACAGCTGACAGCATTCAGCAATTTCCAAATTGTTAGATCCACAGTGTTATCAAAAAAGAATTAAAAAGTGAAACCAGTACTTTAGTGGCGACTTAAAAATGCAGAACAATCTAAATTTATGCTTGGTTAAATGGACGTTTTCTGGATATAACACATGGCTAAATGGGTGCATTTGCTAGATTTGGTGCTTTTGCACATATGTTTTTGCTGTGCTTTCTTATAAACTAAACTGTACCCCTCAGAGAGAACAGTATCTGTTCTCTCTACACTTCTACAAAAACTTCCTTAGGGTTCTCATATTTATTGGCAGCAACAAGGCACCCAAAGAGTTTCTAGCACTGCAGAGTTTCCCCCAATTCCTCTCATGGCAAATCAAAGTAACAGCTTCAAATCATACAATATTTCAAAGAATCTGCACTGTCAAGGTGTTATTTTTTTTCTATGCTCCTTATCACTACACCACAGATGCATAATATTAAAAGTTGTTTTGTGGCACCTCAGGAGAGAGTATTAGTTATAAAATAAGTAGAACTTACCTCCATTTTGTCCTAAATGTTCCTCATCATTCACATCTTTGACAGATGCATATGCAGAAGCCTTTGCATTTATTTCAACACCTTCATCAGGCCGTTTCTGAGAGACAGATGCTATTGCAAAACTGTGTGCTCCACTTCTACTTAAACTACTTTGAAATGGAAACTTGCCCAAGGAAATGGAAGCATCAGAGTCTCGAGATGATTCATCTACTCGATGCCTTAATAATGGCAAATTTAACTGCGGTACCAAAGCTGCTTGCATGTCCTGGGTAGTCTGGAGGGGTTGATGCGTTAATCTTCTAACAAACTCTTCAAGATCTCTTTCAACATTAGAAGCTAAAAAAAGAAACAATGAAATATTATTTTATGTACTTGAGTAAATCTTGAAATGCTACAAGATTTATTTTTATCATATTTCACAAATGTGTAACATATGCTTCAGTATAAAAAATCTTAATTATTTGAGGACTAAGGCTATCTCGGATTACTGAAAACTGGTAAGATAAGCCAGCTGTCATTTAGTTGGATATACAGTGGCTCAACAATTGAGATAAACCTTACTTTAACTTGATAAATCTAACTTTCAATATAAATAACACATTACCATGAAGAGCAAACATGTTTTTATTTTTACACATAACAAATGGTTTAATTTAATGTAAAAAATTCAGAAGCATTTTAAATAAATATATGCAGATTTTTGCCTCTAAAAATTAAGAATACACCAATGAAATTTTTGTAATATCTCGTATACAATATTTTGTTGCATGTCCTTTGGCTGTTATGTTCTCTTCCAAATGTTATGGTACCGAGTCAACCAACCTTTGGTCATATCTGAAGATATTTTATCTTATTCTTCTTACAAGACTTATTTTAAATGTGATTTGCTTTTAATTTTGTGTTTTGGAACCAGTGTTTAGAGTGTGGCCCACAGATTTTCTATGACATTGATGTCTGAGAACTGTGATGGTGGTGTATAACTACAATGAAAACGACACCACATTTTGACATTATCTGCCATGTGTTTGGAGTCATTATTGTGATAGAATATGAAATTTCCATCTAAACGTTTTAGCACTTTCTTTTAGATTATTGTGGAGTATATCCAAGTAAACCATATGATTCATAAGGCCATCTATAAAAACTAAATTCCCTACCCCAGTTGAAGCCATACAACCCCAAACCACGACTAAGTCACCACCATGTTAAACTATAGGAGATAGTAATTATTTTGGATCCAAAGAACAAAAATTGACAATAAATAAATAGAAAAGAATTTAAAAAAAAAAAAAAAAAAAAAGTAAAAGAAAAATAAACTTGAACTAAAATTATCTAGAACATGCAAGTTTGCTAATTTTGGTTCACTAATAATTAAAATGAATAAAAATTATATATATATATATTGTTTTTAGGTTATATATGCATGACAAGGAGGAAATACAATATCTGAGCAATTGGTAAAAGAGTGAGATAAACTAATCCGCCCTTGATGAATCAGCATTGTCTCACTAACATTTTAGTTGTTCATGTTTCTGTAAGTAAAATTTTCGTTTAATTTGCATTTCAATTGAATTAGCTTTACCACTGCTATTAGCTAATGTTTGAGAGACAATTTTTCTTTTTGTTTCCCCTCTTCACTTCATGTTTATTTTTCATTTAAACTTTTTTTTTTATTATTATTTTACAAATTTTGGTTTGTTTTTAAGAAATTCTTTTCTGTTTACTTATTTTCAATTTTTGTACTTTTTGGAACTGGTACTTAAATTACTTTGTTGATTGAAATTGATGTTGACTTCAAATTGCAATTCCTTTTTTGGATAAATTTGCACTTCTGATAGAAGTATTTCCATTTCACTAATTTTATTAGTAATTAAATCTTTGCAGCCACAGGCACAGGAATCTAAAATAGTCCTACTTTCCTTTTGTTTATCAGGATGATTTCAAATTCATGGTACAAATGTGGAGGGAAAGTACAGAAAAAAGTACGAATAATATTCACATAGGAAACCCAGGTCGCAATCCATTTATTTAATCATAAATACAGGGTCCCTCACTTCAATTAAAACAAGATGTTTACAAATATTTCTCAAAATTACACCCACCAACAGCAGTATATGCTTAACAGTGTCAGTGGAGCAACTGGCTACACAGGCAAGGATGCCAGGTATTTCACACCCATATGCAGCAGCTACTCTCTTAAGATGTCCCCACAAAAATAACCGAGGCTTCATAAATTGGGAGACTGATGTAGCCAAGCGACTGGTCCACCACAGCCAATGCATTACACCCCAAAAGTGGCATTCAGGTAATTTCACACATCAGTGCTGAAGTGCATGTGCACTCTATCATGCTAGAACCACATTCTCTTATGAAATGAGATCAGAACATCTTGCAGCAGTTCTGGTAACACCTGTTCCAGAAAAACAAGATAATATTGACCATATGCGGCTAAGTCACTGCAGTAGTAGGCATGGGACAATTAAAAAGTCGTGGATGATACCCGACCACATATTCACACTGATTTGTTCTTGAGACACATGTGGTCTCATTGCATTTGGATTCTCAGTTGCCCACACATGAGAATTGTACACATAAATGCACCCTCCTGGGTAAACATTGCCTCATCTGTAAATAGCACATGAGCTGTGAAGTCCAGCTGCAATACAAATTGTTCCAAAAGCTGCTACCAGAAGCTTAGAAGCAGAGGATAGTCTTGCGGATTCAAAGCTTGTACTCGCTGAAACTTGATGGAGTGCAAGTGATTTTCATTTTACTATTTCGAAATGGTATGATGACTCACACTTCCATTTTGTGCAATAGCTCTTGTATTTGACTCGGGTCTATCAGCCACAATTTCAAGATGCTATCTTCAAATCTTAGATTCCGTACAGTTCATCCTAGCCAATGGGGTGAAGTTGCCACAGCACAGGGTTGCTGTTTCAATTGAGACGTAGACAATTCCCTGTATAACTTGCCTTTGCTATGATCCTCCATAAGTCTCAGGGACACACACTTAAGCGTGTTGGCATTTTTTTACCTGAGCCTGCATGCACAGTAAATTTTATGTTTGCCTGTTCAAGAGTTCGTGAAGAACGGACGTAAAATTAAAATAATTGATGGTCCCTGCAGACAGCTTAAAAATGAGGAATGATTCCCACAAAATGTTGTGTACACAGACACTTGCATGAATTAACATCTTATTTTTAATCACTTTATTTATGAGGTACGGTGGCTCTTAAGAAATGTACCACCAGTGGTTTCTTTCATTGCACTCTACTTTAAGCGATTACGCAAGTAGGAGAGAGAAACCACATGGGGCAGGAAGCAAAAGGGCATCCTCGCCACCTGCCCTGGGTAATCCAGTTTGAATTAACCTTTGCACAAATCATTTTTACAATTTATAATATCTAGAACAGCGGTTATTTCGTATCACCGCCGGGCTTTCTAGTATTATATAACAGTTTATACGAGCTAGTATATGCAAATATTTTACGCCGTTCTTTCTTAGTCTGCAAAATTTTTAATATTGGATCCTTTAGAAAAAAATCTCTTATCTTTTAGAATATTTTATGAAAATAATTGAAATTATTTCGCAATTTGATATGAATCTAATAAAAAATTTTCAATAAAGAAGTGCATATTCAGTGTAGTCGGTTGTTTATTTAATCAATTATCTCACGGCACACAAACTCGCACATTCACGTTATGAAACCCCCTACAGTGATAATTACACAATAAATTTTATGGTGAAAGTAGCCTTATTTTCAATATGTTTTCTTAATATCTTTTAAATTCTCTTACTTTATTATATGATGTAAGAAAAGCAAAAGCCTTTTTGATCAAAGAAGTAAAAGATCTTGGAACAAACAGAAAATGTAGAGAGAATGCAAATATTCTTAGAGAGAGAATCTCTCCAAGAATTTCCTACCCCACAAAATAAGCAAGTACTCACATTATTAAAACTGTAAATACAGATTTAATAAATAATGTAATTCGGAATATTAGACTATCCGACTATAATTGCAGAAAGCAAACATTTGAAAATGCTGTACATTAAAATTTATTTATTTAAAAAAAATCAAAGTGATTTAATTTAATTACATTTTATAACTTTTAAGGTTACTAAGAAAATGCACAGGAGGGTTACCTGCCTACTAAGAGGAAGAAATGCCTTCGCGGAGAATTTTCTGATGAAACATGGCTCGTATTCACATTACAATTGGGGAAAACCAAGAAAACTTCCAGGCCACCAGCCTGTTTGCCAGAATTTGATCCTTAGTCAAACTACCAGTGTTCATCGATCTTATCCGCTCGTAATTTTTAAATTGCTTTTTATTATACAGTCAAAAGTCGTTAATTCGGAC